ACGGCGCAGCCACGCCGCCGGCCACCCGGCAGCCAGGAGGGCTGTGCGGGTGACACTCGCTTGGCTTTTCCGGCTCGGACAGTCGGGTATTTTGCAAACTCACCTGCTGGGCCACCAGCACCTCCAGCGGGTCCAGAACATTCTCATCCCACACAAGGAGACCCCACCCGTTCTCCATGCCTCCCGCTCCCCCAGCCCAAGAACCGCCAACCCACGTCCTGTCTCTGCGGATCTGCCCGCCCCGCGTCCTGTCTCTGGCTGCACCTGTACCTGCATCTCACACCAGGGGAGCCACACGTTCTGCGTCCTCCTGTTGCCTTCTCCCACGGAGCCCCCCAGCCTCAGGGTCCATCGGTGTTGTGGCCATTGTCAGAGCCCGTTCCTTTTCGTGGCTGTATCGTACTCCCCGGCGTGAATGGACCACAGGCCAAAGATGAATAGCCCTGCCCCGTTTGTGCAGAAGGTTTCGTGAGGTAACGGTGAGCACTGCACACACAGAGAAGCGGGCATGTAAAGAGCTCCTTGGAAGAGGAAGGCAAACTGCACGTGTGGCTTCACTGACGGAGCAATGCGCCTGCAGAGTTTATTCACACCGTGCCGGGTATCGGGGCTTTGCTCATTTTTCCTGGCTGTGCAATATTCCACCGAGTGGCCGAACTGCATTTTCTCCATCTCTTCACCCATCCACGGACACTCCGGCCGTTCCTACCTTTGGCCCGGTCTGCTGCTGACTCATTGTATCAGATTCTGTTTGAGAATAGGAACCACCTCATGGCAACAGATCAACAGGAGGCGCACGATCCACTTAAAAAAATAGAGACAAATGTACATTTCCTAAAGCGCACCATTTTGAAATGGATGACTGAGGGTCTGTGCTGTGTACCCGCCACCGCTGCTGTGTCTCAGGACATGCCCACCCCCGAAAGGAGACTCTCTCCCCAGTAGCCGCCCCTGCCCACCTCGCTTCCCAAGCCCTGGCCTCCCCGAACTCACTTCCTGTGTCCGTGGACTTGCCAATTCTGCACATCCGTACCCCAAGGCCGCTTTCCTCCTGGCCTCCCCTGGCCTCTTCCTTCAGCCGCTGTGACGGAAATGAGGATCTCCAAGACCTCTCCTTGCTTTTCCAACAGCTGAGGCAGCACAACACCCGGGCTCTGACCTCCGATGCTTTCATTAAGAAGTAGATTTCAGGCCAGGCTGGTTCCAGGGAAGGCAGCTGCGGTCAGGGCCCCTGGGTCCATCTCCCCCGGTTCTCAGGGTGCCTCGGCGAGAGAGGGTGCGGGAGGAGCCCCTGCCCACACCTGGGTGCCATCTGCGACACCACCACACGTCTGTCCCGTGCCCCTCTTCCTGTCCAAGGTTCACAGCCAGGACGGCCTGTGCACCCCAAGTCCCCGGGGGGACCCTGTGACGCAGCAGGGACTCAGCGGGACTCTGTCTCCCAAATACTGATCAAGGAGTGCACATTTCTGTGCTCCATTACTGCCCACCTCACAGGCAAATGTCTTATTTGGCAAATGCCACTAAATTTGGCAAATGCCACTTCTTTCTGACACTTTCCTGATCTCTCTCTCTCTCTCCTCTCTCTCTTTCTCCTCCCTGGACAGCATGACGTGAGTATCTTTCCTCCCCTACACCCGTCTGCCCTGATGGTCCTGCCTTACAGCAGCCGACCACGGACTGAGCCCCCCGAGACCCCTGGGGAAGCCGACCATGGACTGAGCCCCCGAGACCATGAACCCAATCCAACTTCTCTTTCACCTTATTTATCTCAGGTATTTTGTCCCAGCAACACAAATCTGACTCACGCAACAGAAAAAGGTGGGCAATAGGTAAAACAGTTTATTGGGCTTCTTGACCTCCCTACAAGACTGCGAAGCCCATAGCTCAGGAAACCCTAAAGGGGAAGTTGGAATTGGCCCCAGTGCCCCTGGCCGGGCAACGCTTATGGCTTCATCCCCCCCATGACCCGGGCTCCCGTCCACCGTGTTCAGCGGTGCCCGCCGATGCTGCTTCTCCTTGTGCCCACCCAGCCGGTGCAAAGAGCGCCTCACACTGTGTACAGTGACCCCACGATGACCACGGTCATTGCACGGCCCCAGGCGGGAACCAGGCCGTGCGCTGCAAAACATCCACCCGTGGGAGGCACAGAGCCGCCAGGAAGCAGTGAGCCCGGGCCACCGCGGGGATGAATCTTCCCTGTGACATCTGAGGAACGTGCATCCCGAAACACCACCCGGCACGGAGTGATATACACTTTTCATAAAGTGAGAGACAATTGAAACGGAGACGTGATAAAACCAGGGCGGGAGCCGGAGAGAGAGGACGCTGGCTTCCCCCGCGGGTCCCCCTGGTGGCTGGGGACACAGAGGACCGCGCTGGGGACGGGCGGTGGGTTCCTGGCCTGGTCCCCTCTTCGTCTGCCCTGCGGCGGTGGCTGACAGGCTGCGGCGCAGAAGACCTCCGCCTGCCGAGCGTGTGGGAGAATCTGGGACAATTCAGTGAAATAGCAGAGTATGAAACCACAAGGTTATAAGTGAGTGCAGAGCCAAGGTCAGGGGCCGAGGGTCCCGGCCACAGTTCTGGGATGGAGAACCCCAAACAGCCCTCAGAAACCCCTCGATCCTCACTGCCCGTGGCACCTGCTTCTCCAGGAGAAAAGGGAATGTTTCCCTGGATTTCTGGCTACACACAACCTGCTTGCTTTAGATCTGTGCCCCTCTTCCCCCTGCACCCCAAGTACCCTGACCTGCGGCCACCTGTGTGAACCTGTATTGTTCTCTGACTCTGCAGCAAACTCCTATTCACCCTACAAAGCCCTACTTAGCCAAAAAAGGCTGGAGATGGAGCTCAGTGCAAAGGTTCTGAATTCAATCTTTAGGGTCAAGGAAGGAAGGAAGGAAGGAAGTGTGGAAAGAAAGCTCATGACTGGTCCTGACTTTTGAAGCTTAACCTTCGGTCGGGGTTAAACTAATGTTAAAATCAGGCAAGCGATAGGGCCAGGACTTCATGGGGCCCGCAGGTTCCCAGAATTGATGCCAGGACCTCACAGCCAGTGTCCTAACAGTCTCTAAATGGTCTGTGTGTGAGAAAAAAGATGAAAGAAAATCGAGGTTGTGAGCACATGAAACCCACCCCAGTGTGTTAGGGGCTAACTGGCAGCTCTGGGCTTTTATGTGTTACAGTGTTTGTGACACTGTGGGTAGAACCCGGGGCCTTTGCGTTGAGCTGTGTCCTCGGTACTTTTTCTATTTTTGAAAAACATTTCATACAGAATTTCATGGGGTCGCTAAGATGACCAGGCTGGCTTTGAACTTGGACTCCTCCTGCCTCGGCCTCCCACAGCCCTGGCATTGCAGCTGTGTGCCAACATGCCCGCTCTTGATTTGTATTTCAAAAGGCATGGGAAGGGTTCAGCATATACTGCCCATGGATTCAGGAGGCTGAGGCAGGATGGCCTCACATCCAGACCCTCCATGAATTCTCTCCGCGGGGGATCCAGTGGACTCTGCCAATGTCCCTGCCCTGGACACCAACTCTTTCTCCTCACCCCCTTTTCTAAAATTCCTGCCAGGCTTCTCCAAAATCCCATCCCTCCCGGAAGATCATTTTTCATATATTTCAGCACAAACTGCGTGTGTGCATGCGTGTGTGTGGGGCCACGAAAACGTGGGGGAGACTCAGTTGTCCTTAAAAAAGACATAACCCCAGGCCAGACCAGAAGGGGTGATGAGGTGAATTATTCCAAGGTCCCCCTGTGGAGCCCAGGCTGGCATCCAGATCACAGAGCTCCTCCTGCCTCAGCCTCCTGAGTGCTGGGATGACAGGCGTGCACCACGACGCCCGGCCAAGTTTTTTTAACGTCAAACTGCATTTCAATCGATGCATCCACAAGAGTGAATAGAAAGACAGATTCCAAGTATAATTTTCTGCAATTTTGTCGGGCAGGATAACCTCGCTCCTCACAGACTTGGTTTGGGAACAGAATGCAGCTGTGCTACTCCAGCTCCCCTTCCTCGGCCTGTGTGTCTTCCTGCTCTTCCCTTCTGCAGAAGCCCTGACCCACCTCCTGTCACCTCACTCTGTTTTGCTCTTTTTTTGCCCTTTGGATTCCTCCCAGGAGAAAATCCACGCCACCCCGGGGCTGTGCTTACAGGAAGACGTGCTTTTTCTTTTGCAGGAAGATACGCGTTTTTGCAGGAGGCTGTGCTCGCAGGAGGCTGTGCTCGCAGGAAGCTAAGATCCACAGCCCGCAGAAAGCCACTCCGTCCCCCAGCGTGACCTTTATTCTTTGTGGAGGGCACTTGGAATCCAATCGGGCAAGGCCTCCGCAGAGCCTGACAGCCCCGGGCTGCAAAACCGGCCAAGCGGGTTCCCTTGGTGGCTGAAGGCCGGACTGGAAGGGCTAAGTGGGTCCCAGCCACACCGGCTGTGCTCAGAGCCTTGCACAGGATTACAGAGCGCAGGAGGGCACGGAGGGCCCCAGGCCCCGCAGCGTGTGCCGGCCGTGATTTATGGGCCACGTAATAAAACCAAAGCCCCGCGCCTCGTGCCGGGCGGAAGGGAAGTAACAGGGCTCTCTCCGGCACCTCATCAGCCGGCGCGGAAGGCGGGGGTCGGGGTGGGGTTTTGCCTCGCGGAGCGCTTGAGCTCGCAGGAATGGAGGCCGAGGAGGGGGCGGAGGCGGCGCAGGGCTGGAGCCAGGGCTCATTAGCACCGGGCCTTGTGTGGCCAACACAGAATTCGATGAGGACCGTCAGCGGCGTCCGGCGCAGGCTCTGTGCATCTGCTACACGCGAGGAGCAAGGACAAGTCCTTCTCCCCATGGACACGCGGTAGCGGTGCCACACAACGGAACACAGCTACTGTTCCGGCGTCCTCTTGCCAAAGCTCCACGGAGCAGTGCAACAGCGAGACAGGCGGGGAATTCACGTGATCCATCCAAAGGCCAGGGGGGCCAAGGCGGGTGATGCCACCTTCTGATGCAGAGAAGCCTTGTAGGCTTCTAGCGTGCCTCATAGTCGCAAAGTGGCTGCAGCGGCTCCAGCCCAGGAGAAAGCGCTTCACCACACACCAACAGGAGAGGCTCCAGAGAAACAACCAATGGTGTTCAGTACTCAGCTTGGCTCTCTGTGCCCTTTGGGCCCACGTCTGCTATGGTCCCCTCTAAGATTCTCTGCTTCTGTTCCTGCTGTGGGATTAGCAAGTACCACTTGCTGGGTGTGGTGGGCATATCTGTCATCGCAGCACTGTGGAGGCCGAGGCAGGGCGGAACAGCTAGGCCATGTAGAGAGGTCAAGGCCATCCTGGACTACATGGTGAGTTCCAGTCTCAAAAATCACAGCCGGGCTTGCGGGGGAGGTTGGAATCCAGCAGGGGGTTTTCAGATGAGAGCAGAGCAGAAAGGCATGGTGGTAGCTTGTGGTGCTCCGAGTCCAAGCCCGGAAGGGGCCCTCAGCGAGCGTGAGGGCAAAGGTTCTGGTGACCAAAGGCCACTGGCGTCAGCTGGGGACAGGGCGGGGCTGTTTGTCACTCAGGGTGGCGGGGACGAAGTTGGGGTGCGGTGAGCGGGTCCTGGGCTCGGGGACAGTGACAGGGAAGAGGGGCCGCAGCGAGGAGGAGGAAGAGGAGAAGGAACGGAGCCCGGTGGGTCCCCGAGCCCCCTTTTGCTTCCTCAGATTTGCCACCCTCCTGCCTCAGCCTCCCTCCCTGACAGTTGCACCTTCTGTCTGAGCTGCCCTCGGTTGCTGACCAGGACCCCTACAACTGTGTGGCACGGTTCACCTTTTCCCTCCCTCCCCTTGCCTGTGTGTGGTGTCTGGCCACAGGGGCCGAGAGAAAGCTGAGCACCACCCGCCCATCCTCGGCTGTGTTCACCACGGCCGTCATACTGGGCCGGCTTCTGTGAAGTCCCCGAGCTGATAGGAAACGGCTGAGCAGTTTCCCATGTGCTCCACTCCCGTTTCTATGTAGGGCACACTCACACCTTTACCCAAAAAGGGAAAACTGGGCGTTTCTGGGGGATCCCAGCCCTGACTCACAACAGCGCTGGGGAAAACAACAGATGGAGACCAAGTGAGTCGCAGACTGGATGGGACCCTTCCGTCCAGGACAGGATTTCCACCCGGGGGCCAGAGCGCAGGGAGAGCGGAGGGGAGAAGGCAGGGCTCAGACAGAGCCTGGGACACCGTGTCTTCCCTTCCCACCTCTCCCAGCTTCCGGGGCGGCCTCACAGCCCTGGGGTGTGTGGCGGTGCGGGGCATAAGGGGGCTCCCAGGGGCCACGCTGTGCCTGGGTCTGTCCCACGCGTCTGTGTCCCCACCTCCTTTTCTTACAAAGACACGGCCCTTGGTGCATCGGAGCCCACCCTGAAAGTCTGCTTGGAACCGGGGGGCCGGGGGTTTGGCTCAGTGGCTCCGCCGCCTGCTTGTTCGAGTCCCCAGTACCA